TGCGACATTGGTGGATGTAATCGCCGTAGAATGTTTTTTACAGACTTGTGGGCGGATGTGAATGGTCCTTAGGAACTTTGCCTATTGGGAAACTTGACTCACTTGGAGGGACGGAGCTAGTGGTTGAAGCAACGGCTGCGGAAGAGTTTTGTCTTTATAGGCGTTAGAGTAACCTAATCCTCCGTTATTAATCTCATCTATACAGTAATCTAATCCTCCGTTATTAATCACTCAGCACCCTGTAGGAGTTGCTGGTTAGTCAGATCAAGGAATCGCCGACAGGTAGCGTCTTCGCGCTCGCGTACTAGAACTGTGTCAATTGTCTTTGTTTAGTAAATGGGCACGGATTCTGCCGTACAAACCACGCGACGCGACACGCTATCCTCAACACACCCCAACACCCCATTCTTCCGTTGCCTATCAGCTACGGACGGCGACGCAATACGGCCCAATTTAAAAACATTGATCGTTTGCTTACTCGTGCGATGAAATTAAATTCCATGGTGGTACGCACAACTTAATCGTGATAATTTAGTAAAAGCTTAATATGTTCTGGAAATTTTCACGCGATTGATCTGTCTGAGGAGGGCGCCCTCTAAAATCCTTCAGGTGCAGCTGCCACCGAAACGGGTGCGCTCCGCAATAACCTGCTGCAGAAGGTCTTGGAGAATTAATGCTGGTGTACAGAGAAGGGGGAAGAATACCTGGAACGGGGAGGGGGGCGTTAGCAGACTGAAAGGCCCTTCTCTAAACAAAGTAAATTGAACGCCGCACCGGGCCGTGAGGTGCCCGGGGGGAGAGGGATGGCGCTGGTTAAGAGGGGAGGCGGAGGATGACAAAGTTACAAGAATTACATTGCACATACGATTTATTGATATTTAATTTCTAGTCTACGTGAATGGGATGATATGACCAATGAAATATTAATTTACAGAAATGAAATTGAATGAATGATATAAAATGGATGTTCTTCGTTACTTCTATGTTACTTATCACCGTGAAGGTGATGTCGTGAACGTGGTCGCATTACACGTCCATGGGCACACGGTGTTGCCGAATACCTGCTGCTGGGTGGCTGCGGCATGCGTGGACCAGCGGTGCTCCTCTCCCGGGCGAAGCTGGAATGCAGGCGTCCCACACAGTCGAAGAGTCTGTCCAGCAGCTTGGCCACGGACCTGGCCGTAGGTGGGCCCTGCCAACAGGAGTATGTGTGTGCGGCACACACACTCTCTCGCCAGCCGGTGACTGCCGGTGTGAGTCCGTGCGTACCGCTCTGTAGTACCCGCCGATGGCAGGTTTACACGTATACGTGCCGAAGGCAGCCGGTTTAAGTGCGCGAAGCGCAACACATGAAAATGCTTGTAAGAGTAGAGACTGTTCAGCGACGAGGCCCTGGGCAGGCGGTGTGGCCTGTGCCTCTCGCGGTGGTTCTCGCAAGTCTGACCTAACACAAGTGAATGTCGTTGCAAGCCAGAAGGCTGCATCCCTTAGGGAAAGCGGGAGGGGCGCCGTTCCGCGCAAGGCCCGGTGGCGCGGGTGCGGTGTGGGTGCGGCGGGCGCACCCTGCGGGAGCGGCCGCCTCCGGGGGGAGGGAGCGACCACCCGCCTTTGCGCGAGGGCTTTGTGTCGTGGACGGAACAGCTGGGTGGGCGAGCGTTTGCAGTGGTTTATTTCTTTCTTGTTAGAGAAGGTTGGGGGACTCACCTGGAGTTGGCGGCGCTGTACTGGTGGAAACTCCCACTGTCGAAGTGTTACCACAATATTTTGCTGTGAGGGCAGTCTCTTGTTGTCCCTAAGAACAGTAAGAACCTAAAGAAAAAAGTAGATTGATTCATTTGGAAGGGAAAGTGCGCAAGTGTTTGGAGCACATTTGTATGTATTGCTCGGTGGGCGGGCAATTGTGGTTCTTTAGAACATTCTCTATAGAGAAGGACGGTGGACTCAGTCGAAGGGGCGTGTTGGAAGCATCGCCGCAGAAGAGTTCATATAGACGTGTTACTTGGTGGGTGGGCGTTCTCAGTCATTTAGAACATTTTTAATTTAGAAAGTTGGTTGACACACTTAGATGGGCTAGTGGCAGTAGCACCAGCTACAAAGGGTTTTTTTACCGACGTGTGTTGCCGGGTGGCCAGGCGTTTGTGCTCTTTCAGAACATTCTCTACTGAGATCGGTTGTCTCGAACGGGCTGGTGCGGTAGTAGTGGATGGATGAGATGGAGACATTATACAGACATGTGTTGTTGTGAGTGGTCGTTTCAGTCATTTACAACATTGTCTATTGACAAGATTTACTGACACAATTAGAGGGACGTATTTAAAAAAAATAAATTTGAGAAATCTACGAATAGTATTGCTTTGTAACTTATTAAACTTAAATAACTTCAAGTAAATGCGGAGAAAACAAAACTGTGAATAATATAAGAAAATGAATGGACGTTGTTATGTTCGACTTCGCACATATACGTTCGTACTTGTGTGTACAAATGCCGATTTTCAAATGAATGTGACCCACAATATATACGTATTAAACTTATGTAACACCTTATTCACCTAAACATTCATAGGAGTCGCCTTTTAATGTTATATTCTCATTCAGCGCTAGATTCACATACAAAACGATTAATAGAACAATTGCAGAAGTAGAAGTGAACACAAATTATACTGAGTTAGTGAAGTTTTAATATCTTCAAAAATTAGGGGAGAAAAATATGAAATATGTAAGGAAATCTAGGTAAGAATCAAATATATTGTAAAAGATGTTGAGGCAGAATTTTCGGAACTCCTTGAAAATGATCTGCATTTTTGCATTAGCATTTGTAGCATAATGCAAATGTGCATTTTTGTGTATATTAGCAAAATAGCAAAAAAAATGTAGCTGCTATTTAACTATTAGCATTCAAAACCTACAAGTAATTGTTACGGCGATTGTAATTTTGAAACTGCAATAAAATCAGTTCACTACCAGTATGAAGGTAATATACAAGAACATTGGGTGTTGAAGCCTTTGAACCTTACTATAAAATTATCAGCTACTACGATTCATTGGTATGTCCAATGTCAGATACTAAAATAACATATTTGAACATTGCCGAGCATGAAATAAATTTTTAACACATGAAAGAGTATGTAGCGCCGGCAACGCCACATTTTACTACTTGTTAATATTAACGACACAATTATAATTTCCACATTTTTATCTGTTTAGTTAACTTTAATTTATAGCAACTTTAAAAAGAAACTCACGTTAAAAGATTTGACTCTCAGAGTGTAAACTAAGATAAAAAAAATACAATGCATTTTATAGTTAGTTGATAGGATGTAATTTCAAAATAAAACTAATAATATTTATTATGAAAAAATTATTTATTAATTAATTACATTCTATAATAAACCTAATCCTTGTATCAAGGCAGGTTACAGATGAACACCGATGGTTGTTTTTGTATAGGTGTCAATTTTTCATGATGTAATTGATATTGTTTGACTTTTGTGTTCAAAATATTTATCACAAGTGTTTGTTATAATTTCAGTCAACACAGGGTCTTGGATTGTTAATAAATAACTGACCTATTCACTGGAAAAAGTAACATTCAGAATACATTTTGAAATTATTTTATATAAGTACAATATATTTTAATAAATTACTGGGCGATGAAAATGCAACGACCAGGAAGTTTATTTGACATAAAAGTTTGAAAGGTTTTGTCATTGCATACAAATATTGATGCGAAAAAGGCAAATTGGTATATTTTTTTATTACCGAGCCATAAATAAAATAATATTTTTCTTTTTTATATAAATACGCATGAACAATGTTAAATCAAATTATTTATTTATCAAAATTGTAAAAAACTTAAAATACTAAAATAAAATTAAAATTTAAGCGGCGGAACCATCCATTACATCTTGGTATTGTGAGGGTTGTTAAATAGTAGAACGTTGGAAGATACATTAGTGAAGTTAAATGTTGATGATGATTTGCTGAATTTTCTCGAACTCCTGCAAGAATAAAAGCTTATTACAAAATGTGAATCTACAAGAAAGAAAAATATATCATAATATACTTTACACACTGAACCTCGGCTGTCACCTCAGTGTATAAAAAAATGTCTGTTCTTTGTTACCCCCGCCCTCGCGTTCCTCAATACTTTTCATACCATTTTCTTGTAGGAAAAATGTATTACAATTATTGCACTAGGATGTTAGAATAGAAAGTATAAAGTTTTATCTATTTTGTAAAAATTTTAATGAACTATAATTTTCTTTACATTTGGCTATTCATCCCGCAAAATGTTATGTTGATGCATTTAAAGGAGCCCATGTACACCTAGAAAACGTGTGGGAAGAGTTTTTATTATTTAACTAACAGTTGTTAATAGTGATCTAAGAATTATTACATTTGTGTTCTAATAACTAATAATGACACTGTTCTCACAAGTGTAGTAAAGTTGGCAATCAAGGAACTAATTGCATACGGTTTTGCAAATGCTATTTGTTACTAAAACAAATAAATCGGAATTCCAAAAAGTAATTAAGAAAAACTCAAATTTCTCGCTTTTAATCGAATATTTATTTACGATTTAAGCTTTAAAATATTTAAATTTTGCAATAATGGACAAATTAGGATTTATTTTATTTTTAAATATAAATATACTGTTTAAATTGTAGTTTATCTAAGAAGCCAAAAAAGTCTTCAAAATTACTGCCAAACTTCCCATTGCAAAGTTATTCAACATTAATTACCGAAAGGATTTGTAGAATTCAAAAGTTCTGCGATTCAAGAGTTTTGAGAGCTTTATATATCTTTCAGAATTCAGATCTTTCAGAATGCGAGAAAATATAGAATTTAATGCACTATTCAAGGAAAATTTAGAATTCAGGCACAAAGCCCAAGAGAAACTCCACGATTCGGGCATGTAATTGGACGACCAAAAAAATTAGAAATCGGGCTTAGATTTGGAAGCGAGAATTTGGTTTGCAATAATTTCTATTTGACTCGTCTCACCTCCTCTTGCAATCTCGGCGCCAGCCATTGGCGCCTGGTGGTTGATTGCAGGTGGCCCTTTCACTTGGAACCGCCGCCGCAGCAGGAGCACTTGGTGCAACCGCAGGACGAGTTGCACTTGCAGGAGCCATCCTGGCAGCCTGCGACAACACACACTGTCAATTATCCGCTGATACTTCCCTTCGCGTTTCTCTTAACGCTAGCTCCGGCGAGTCCATCTAGCTTTCAAATCATTTAACTGATGGAAGTGTGCCCACGTTTAAACAAAAACTAGTTAATGATTAATTTGCATACAACATTTTCCTTTGTTTTCACAATTATAAATGTTTTGCATTCAAATAAAATTGAAAATCAATGTTTTAAGCAATTATAAATGATGTATCTTTATATTTCGCATCATATGCATTTGAGTAACCCTTCAATACGAAAGCTCAACAATTCTGGATCCCTGTCAAATGTGTATCCCCATGGTTCCAGTCAAGTGGACATTACTCCACCGTGGGAATTATGGTAATGCAATGGTTTCCGTGCTATCTACTACTTCTGGGTCTGCCACTTACACTCACCAAATGAACAAAAATGAAATAGGCTTAGTCACAGTCAAAAGACAAGCTTTAGTATAAGCGCAAAGACACATTAATCAGAAGAATTCAGATGATTAGCGCGCTCATCACATTTTTGCGCTAGGTTCGTGAGAGATCATTGGAACTGATGCTAGTTTTAAATCACTTGCCCACATAACATGGTGCAAATTAATCTCAATTCAGATCATTTTGCGTGTCGTATACTAGTAGGAAATTGACAAAATAAGTTTTTTACCAAAAAGGTTAGCCAGTGAATAAAATTTCAAAACTCCAGAACAAGATTATGACGACTGAAAATATACTAATTTATCATTCGTACCTTTAGAGTTATTTCGTTATTTTTGAATTTTCCCCTTTTTCCGTGGGTATCAAGTACGCTGCTAGATAGTTTCCTTACAGTCGAAACATTTGCAAGCAATTATTCAATTTAGTTATATTAACATTACATTTAAAGGAAACTTATATTAATCAAATGTAGTTTCAAATAGCGACGATTTTCAGGTACAAGAGTTTTATGAAAACCTCGAAGTTATATTAACACAGGTGCTTTTTTAAATTTAAGTCAAGTAATATTTTGTTTTTAAAGCAAATAGATTCAGTTATGATGACCGATCACGAAGTGTCAAAAAATATTACCGCCCTGTTGGACACTGTACCTGGTGCGATACTGATTAGCAATATTGTGTAGTAATCGATCATTAATGTAAAAATGTTACTTACATAACATTGTCTATCATCACATCCAACTTATTTTAATAAATAGCTTTGCACGATAATTAAGTAAATTACAATCTAGAAATCCCAAACACTAAAGACAGTATTTTGTTAACTGTAGCCGTCTACTTACTGCAACCGTTGGGGCAGCACGGAGAAGGCATAGTTGTCGAGAAGAACGGGTGATCAACTTCTGTGAGATGCTTCGCCACAAGGTCGAGTCGAACCCGGGTATGCTACATCGGCGGATCCTCTGCGATTAAATACTGACGTTGAGGTACCGCACGGCGGAATAGCGCACGACGCTTGCACACGGCGCCGTGCGCAAAATCCTCCGGCGCTCTTTATTCGTTATCGCCTCCCCCTTCCCCACACTGCCGGGTTTTGGTGACATGATTATCGCAATTTACGAACGCTGATATCAGCTTCTGACGTTGAATGTTGTGAACTCGGAAGGTGCACACAGTGACGACTACAGAATTGCACACGGTAGACTATTTCGAAAATTTCCGGAAACTCTGCGCGTACTCCTCAACGAGCATTTTGAGTTCATTTATTGTGCGGTCATTAACAGTAATCCAGATGTATTTAGTTTTCTGTGCATGTAACTGACAATTTTGCACAGTGCTCTCTTTATCTTTCAGTGATGTGGTTATGGGTTTTGTGTTTACTATAACGCGTCCAGTGCAGTGAATTTTAGATAAATTGAACATGTAAAATAATAATGATTAGATAGATAAGCGCTTGCAGTAATTGAACGCGTAATTCTTGAGTCTGCTTTATGTACAATACGGTACGGTAAAGTAACTTCATAAAAAAGGACTATGCGTCACAGGAATTTCGAAAACATTTACTACACAAGTTATTCCCAACGTAAGATGAGCGACTAAAATGTGTTACTATGTCGTATGGTTTTTATTCGTTGGATGGGCAAGACGACAAAATCTTATGCCATGTGTCTCGACAATAAAGGCAAAAAAATAGGTTATTTCCTTTTTTTACTCATCAAAATATTGTGAAATGAATGTTTAATGTGTTGAATTTCTAAAAGTACTTTCAGTTGCATGTTCTTAAAAATGTGTGACTATCTGTCCGTCAGTGAATAATGCTAGTGTCAAAACATTTTCAAGATTTTCACCAATATTGATATTCCCCAATTCATTTGGCTGATGTCGCATCCCCTTGAATTTGAAACATATATTTTAATTTTGGGGTTACATTACATTCTTCTTATTTTCATTACTTTCTTGTAACAGAAGAAAGTTCATCTGTTTTAACCTACCAAATTATTTTCATATTGGGATGTGTAGCTTTTGGAAACCAAATTGTAGATCTGGAAGAGTATAAAAGACCCTGAGGTCTAAATGAATAAATGTCTGATTAAGTGATAGTGTTTTATACTATTAAACATGGATTATCAGAATGTAAAAATTTGCAGGTATGTGGTATTTTCCTTGCAAGTAAATTGCCAAGAATGCTCTTTGATTCCATACCTTAATTCAGAGATATGTCTGGATAACGAAGTGTCCTGGTCTGAAGTGAGAGGATCAAATATTTGCGCTTTCTAACAATCTACTTTAGTACGATTATGTGGTGTATTAGTACTTTCACAGTTGTAACAAAATTGTTACTAATGACAAACCACATCTGATCCAACATGCAAAACACCTTTTTAGAGGAATACTGTGATGATTAGAATTTTTTATTGTAATGGCCTTTAATTAATTAAATCCATTAATATGGAAAAACAAAAGTATCGATTTATTTTTCAGGGTGAATTATTTTACGGCATACACCGTAAACTTGAAGAAGGCTATTTACCGTTTAATTAAATCAGAAACATTTTCAAAAATCAAATAAAAAAATAAATCATTTATTTACAATATTAAAATATTACTCAATAAAGGAAACAATAACAAGAAGAACTTTACACAAACCTCTAAAGGAAAACTTCACAGTCTGTTCGTATTTCAATATACGTATTCCCGCTCACGTGTATGTCTTCATACATCATTCATATATTCCTAAATCTTCTAGCTTCTCCAAGGCATGCATTCCTTGTGAACGATTAAATTACTCAGTCTTTACAGCTAACTGTACAACGTCTAAAAGTTCATAAAATTTCATTGTCCAGCTGACCATACCTCACACTGCATTCTGTACGACGTTTATTCTATATTTTCTGTCCCTTCTCTGTCACCAATGGTATCCGCCAACATATTATTTTTGTGGAGTAAAGTCCGGCACACTAACATCCTCTTAATATCGAAAGTCTTTGAATATCTTGACTCGTTACAATACTATGTACTTTATGGTAGTTTATTTGCATTATAATTCTTAGATAAAAATATTTATATGATTTGTGGCCATTCAATATTCGGTATTTGCAAACTTTCTCAAGAGTATTTGCATAAACTATTCCCTTGAGTTATTTGTTGAATATTGTTATCTAATGTTCGTGGAGGTGACAATAACTATCAGCAGGCAACGGCAATGGTTGTTTTGGTATTTGTGCTTGTAGACGGAATTATTGGAGGGCAATAAACAGGCAAGGTTCGAAAGCTTATATTCAACAAAAAAGGATGCACAGGAGTACACATATGTTGTGGAGAGTTAACGACTGGTTTTGTATAAATGAAAATCGTATGTATTGGGCTGGGAATACTAGAACTTGAGAAGTGTAGAGAGTGAGAATATTGAGCTTAAGAAGTGGAATTTCACAATACAATACCTATACAATTGTAATTGTATATTTGACACAATAAAATATATTCATTTGTAAAAAATGGGCGTTTTCACGTTCCTTGGAATTGAGTCGACTCCCAGTTGCAATTGTGTGCGTGTTTCTGTGTCCGTCTTTGTCTTTTGGTTTTGAGTGTGTATGTTTTGTTGTCTCTGGCGTCATTTCTTTTAGCCTATATTTTACTATCAATTCTGTTTCTTTTAACTTTCCACCCATATATATATATATATATATATATATATATATATATATATATATATATATTCTTCATTCATTTTAAAATTACTCAATTTGTGAGCGATTTCTCTTGAACTTTCCCTCTAATTAATTCTTACATTTTTTTACTTTTGTATTTTATTTTTACTTTTCTGTTACATTTCTTGGCAATGGCATCCAAAATGCACGTTTTGGAGAAAATTCGAGACCAAGGTACTTAACATTATTTAATTGAAATTCACTATTACTAATAGGATAAAACAGCTATTTGCTAATTCTAAATATCCATGGACGCACATATATCGTCTTGTAATTCTAAATCGTTGAACCCTATACGAGTACTTACTTACACAATATTGTTCATTTAGAATTATTGTATTAGACTGCTACAAACCAATATTAAAATATACACTTTCCTTTTAATGACATTCAATATTCAAGCAATTGCAGCTCCTACTGGCGTTCTCTACGGTGTCTGGTGCCTTGTCTCCCCGCATGTCTCGGCTGTATTATTTGGTTTACCGCACTTACTCTTTTTCCATTAGATTTAATATTTCAGGTTTATTCACTCATAAGTACAGTAAATCATAATGTGATGTATGGGGGAGAGTTTTCTTGAGTTGAAAGATGAGTAAAAGTTTAAAATAAAAAAAATTAAAATAAATTTTAAAAAATCGCGAGATTAGAAATATTTGGAAAAAATTAGACATTGGTTTCCACTGGATAGTTTACTGCGAACCAGAATGCGAATGTGTGTCGAAGCTCGCTCGCTCTCATTCATTCAGAGAGAGGGAGGGGGAGAGAGAGAGAGGGAGACAGAGAGAGCGAGAGAGAGACAGAGACAGAGAGAGCAAGCGAGAAAGAGAGCGCGAGAGCGAGAGAGAGAGGGAGAGAGAGACAGCGAGAGAGAGAGCGAGAGAGAGATGGACTCAATTTTTGGTTAGTTGTGTATCTTGTAATACTACGAAGCAAGTGTTTTAATTACCATTTCGATCTTATACATTATAAAGTTCAAATTTTTCATCTTCATTAATCATTCATTTTATTTTTATAAAAAAAGCCATCACATTAATCTACTTTCAACTATTTACCATCAGTATTAATACTTCAACAATATTCATACTTATCATCGTGTACAAGCTGCTTCAGAATTCCTTCAGCTTAGAAATGTACCGAATGATGTGGCCACCAGTGCAGCAGGGCCGTTTTGACTTCATCTTGCCGTTGATCGCCCAGATGTGTTTTGCAACAATAGTCGCCGGATGCCAGGTTAGGGCTATTCAGCGGGTGGTGAAGTTGTTTCCAGCCAAATGGTGCGAGGAGATCTTGGGTTAGACAACCGTTGTGACAGGCATTGTGAAAACAATATCCCTTACTTAGCATGCATCGACTTTTAAGAGCTGTTGCTCATCTTTTGAATATCCGTGATTTTTAAGTAGTATCTATCTTTGCAGGCAACGTAATTTATGCTCCTACATGAGAGCGGGGAGTAGGGCGTGGATACAGGGGGAGGGGGATTGGTACTCCGACTTCAGCCAATGGGCTTCAGACACCAGTTTGCGTCACAATATGAGCGGGAAGTTTAAATGCAGCCAGGTACCGAAGTAATCAGCTCGTTACAAGACATTAAAACAGTTTTATGAAGCATTTCTTTTAAATATTGCACAACGTTGTACACCTTCATCCTGTTATTTTTAGTTGGTTATCGTTGAAAATTGTCATTTTGTACCAAATTGTTTCTCAACACTACTCGCTCTCCATGCAACATGGCGGCCGGCGTCTGGTCTGGATTTTCAAACGAAGTGCTCGTGCTGTGGTCACGTGGTTCGTCGGAGTCGGTGCGCCGGAGGAACTCACTGATGCATTTCCACCATTTGTGGAACCTAGCGGACATTACACCGTTCTTGTATTATTTAGGAGAAAAAACATATTCTAACGCTAGCATGAGCTGACAGCATCATTGTTCCATTTCAGATCCAGAATCATAGAATGATATTTGAAATGCGCCATCCAACGTTACTAGTTTTCATCTAATTGCTCTCCCACCAAATGCTAACCTCAAGGACTTTTTCAACACCATGAGCGACTTACACTGAATTCCCAAACGCTCACTAATAAAGACAAATTTCAAATTCTAAATCAAGAACCGGCGAGGTCGTAAGCCAAATTGCTTAACTACATTTCTTGAAGTCACGCAATTAACCAATTCGATATACCATGGATTCTCGGGTGGGTTATCGTGTAATAAGGCATATACTACATACTGGCCAAATGGAAAAATGGCATCGTCTGACTGCGATGTAACGAGTCAAACGAATATTCATTTAACGGACAATGTCTCCAATCTTTACACGCCAAAAAGGGCTAAAGAGATGTGTAGCGTACGACACAACCAAATTAAAAAGGCTTAGGCTGAAATAAAACAAGAACGACGA